GGCGCTGACTCTCACCAGTGGCTATGGATGAAGTCACAGGCGATTTTCAGCCAGTGCCTGGTCTTTTCTTATTTGATTCACAAGGCACATGTAATTTGTGTGTCTGAGTAAATAGGGACACAGTAAGGAAAACGTGTCTCCTTCCCCAGCCCTCTATCCATTCTGTCACTGCCGCTAATTAGAATTGACCCAGAGCTGACTCCTCAGCAGGTTGTCAGAGGCTGTAAATCACAGGGGAAGAGATTGCCTGTGGAGCATCTGGTGTATTTGGACCACCTTTCTTGGGATTGGCAACACAACTCCTTACCCACTAAGCCATCAGAACTCCCTACCCTTCTGTTAGGGTATCTTTTATGTCACTTCATTCATTGATTCAGCTCTATTTGCCAAGAAATTCCTCTGTAAGTACTAGGAATATAAAAATTAATAAGAACTTGTCTCTGCATTCCTGGTATTCATGATCTGGAAAAGGGAATAGATAGAAAATTGTAGTTGCATATGATAAAGGCAGTAAGAGAAATAAATTCAAGTGGTGAAAAAAAGAATGTTATGATGTTTTATTAATGTTTAGGAGATTGCCAGGTACATAGTACGTGCTCAATTATTCTTAATAGAGTGGATAAATAATTGAATATTAATATATTTATATGCATGTGTATACATGTGTGCATAGGTGTGTATGTATATCTACATATGTGTGGAGATACATGTGTTACTGTTATGTGCCATCCAGTTGCCAGCGACCTATAGTGACCCTTTGTATATATGTATATCTATCTATACAAAATACACACACGAAATTAGTATTATTTTCATAGAAATGTTATTGTTTTATAAGGATGAATTCATTGTGGTGTGGGAATGGGTAGTTCTCAACAGAGGAATTGGAATATGGGTGTAGTTGGTACAGGACAGCATATTGGTAATTGAGATTAGCACCTGATGCTCTGGGGAAGGGCAGACCATACCTAGGTCAGGTGCTACTTTTTCTGTTCGCTGAGCCCCACCTCACGGTGTCTATGAGTAGTGTCCCAAAAATACTGGAGGCGAAGGGGTGCTTGCTTGACCTCATAGAAGTAACTTCACTCTGACTTGGACTAATATTCTAGACACAGGAAAATAGATCATCTGGGTGGAGGTGATGAACCAGGTTTCTCTTGTCTTCTACCTTCCAGAAGCACAGGCACACCATCCCCTCGTTCCCCCATGCCTTCTCCTGCCAACTCTGGAGGCTCCCAGGCCAGTGCTGGCAGCGTGGGGAGCAGTGGGATGACTGCCACCATCAGTACCCCAGTCACCATCCAGAACATGACGTCTTCCTATGTCACCATCACTTCCCATGTCCTTACCGCCTTTGATCTTTGGGAGCAGGCTGAGGCCCTTACAAGGAAGAATAAAGGTAAATGTTCTTTGATGGCAGTTACTGGCATTTGGGGATTAGCCGGGGAGTGTGTGACTGGTTTATGTATTTTGTTCAGTTTGTCAAAGAAAAGGAAATAAGTACTAGCTCTTCCCCCCTTTCATATTTTCTGCCTTCAGCCTCGTAACATAGCTACAGTTCTTTCTTGAGTTCTATAACATGGAATTTCTGATGTTACCATAATGAAATCAGAAGTGGTTTCAGCACCTTTCCCCTTCTTAAGTTCCAGAGTTTTTACTTCTGCCTGAACTGAAATGCTAGTAAAGGGGGTAAGGCAAATGAAGAAGGAAAGTCAGACCGTTCTGAGCTTCACACATTTGAGGTACACAGTACCTGAAGTCAAGATCCTGAGAACATTGCTTGTTTTCTACTGAGTGCATTGTTTATTTGCAGTAGATATTAAGAAAGACGACTAGAGATACTTGGAGAATGAAGCATGGCGAACATTCTGAAGATTTGCTTAGGAAGAAGGCCTTTGGAGAAATTCAGAGTTTAGGAGGTGGAAAAGCATACTGTTAGGGAAACTGCTTGGTATCCATGCCAACAACCACTAAGTAAATGCATCTGTGTGAGTGTCGGCTAAAGCCATTACTTATTTTTTCCTGGCTGTAAGGAAGAAGGTGGCCAGCTGGCTGTAGTCAAGTTCCCCACAGCCTCTTAGGTTTTTGTTATCTTCCTCAGGAAACACCTAATATTTTTTTTTTAATGCATTTTGTTACTATGTGGCTCCCCATCCCTCCATATATGCATCCATTGATCAACTGAAAAGTGTGAAGTGGGCATTTTCCGAGTTCCAGGTACTGTGCTAGGCTCATAGCACATGTCTTCACTCTCTAATTGAGGAAATTGTTAGTTGTTGTTAGATGCCATCAAGTCACATGAGACACAGTGAACAACAGATCTGAATCCCATCCAATTTTGTGCCATCCTCACACTTCCTGACACATTCGGACCCATTGCAGCAGTCACTTTGTCAGTCCATCTGGTTGAAGATCGTCCTCCCTTTCACGACCCTCCACCTTTCCAAGCATGATGTCTCTCTCCAAGAAATAGCCTCTCCTAGCAACATGCCCAAAATATGTGAGATGCCTGAATCATTTGTACCTTAGTCCTCAAACTGTTATCATTGCTCTTCAATAATTTGGAGAGTTCTCTAACTGCAGACTTCCCTGGAGCAATACGTCTCCTGAGTTCCTGACTGCTGGTACCAAGGGTGTTGATCATAAAGGACTGTGGATAATTAGCAGACAGTTCTGTCACACTGTGATCTTCTGTTACTGACAAAAGGCAGAATATTCTTGGGACATGATTTCTGGAACCTTAGCGTCTTACTTTTACATATGTATTTACTTGGTCTTGGTTATGTTTTGTTTGCAGAATTCTTTGCTCAGCTCAGCAAAAATGTGAGTGCCCTGGCCCTCAACAGCAGCTTGATGGACCTGGTGTACTATACACGACAGGGTTGTCAGCGGCTCAAGCAAGTAACCAAAACACCTTAACAGAGGCCCAGACTGATTCAACGCCTTGGGAACTTTTTTGCACATTGAAAGCCTCAAAACAGTCTGGACATTTGTCTTCTCGGGACACCAAGCTCAAAAAGAGGAATACCATGAGCTGGCTCAGACATCTGTCCACTTAAAATCTCAGCTGTTTCATCATTGGTCAGACACGATGGTTATGCAGAAGCCGAGATGAGGGGCCCTCAGAGATGATCTTGCCTTTCCTGACTGAAGCACAGAGTGTAATGCTGCCTACATGGCTGTCTGAATGGTCTAGAAACATTTCCTTTTTTTTAGCCAGCCGAATGAAAGTTGCAAATGAAATGAGGTGAGGAGAAGCAATTTCAACTCTGAAAGCAAATATACATCATCTCAGTAGCCATATTAGTTTAATCCCAGATGGAATTTTTTAAAAAATAAAAACAAAAACACAATGATCTTTTTTGGTGTAGGGTTTTGGGGGTGATTTCTTTTTCCCCTCTCTAAGTTTCAGAGGAAATATTTCTTTAGTAAGTTCTGATGGTCACCGATAATATAAGTTGTGAAGGACTTCACTGTATCTCACTTTCTGCCAACAAGCAGTGTCTTTGATAATACCATGTATTGTCATGTTTTATAAAATTGAAGGAGACCCCATTTCCTGGCGTGTACTGCATGCTGACCTCGCTGTGGCTTTTCAGCACTGTGTGGAGATGGGTAGGAGAGGGAGGAGCCACGGCCTGCAGATAGTCTGCCCTCCCAAGTCTCCACGTGACAGGGGCCCACTTGACAAGGCCATTTCCCCACCGTGGCCATCTCCACGCCCTGCCTCAGCAAAGAGGACCCTCACGAGGCTTTGACGAGGCTTCTAGAATTTCCTGCTGTGGGGAAGAAAGGAACCCATGTACAGTACAACCAGGTGACGTAACATGCTTCCACATTTCTATTTTAAGAAGAACTGGAGTTTCAGGTGCAAGCTTGTGGCCTCCAGCTTTGCAGGCACTCAGCTATGTAACCAACTCAAGAGTTTTGTCTGTGAAGGAAGATAAATGGAATCTACTTCTCTAGAGAGGCTATATTTTTCTGCTACAAATTATATTTATAGCAAAACTAGATTTTCAGAGACTTTGGTATCGGAGGTGGAATGGGACTGCCTAAAAGGGTGTGGAGATTTGGGGTGGCTGACTGGACTCTGAAAAATAATCATCACCACATGCCTTCCCTCCAGAGTGTCTCAACCAACTACATTGGATCAGAGTCACAAATATCCATGCCTTCCCTGAAGTTATTACCATACTATATGCATTAAGCCAAGTCCATTTTCAATGACCTAAAATGACAGAATACATTCAGAATTCTCACTTGCTCAAAAAGCACAAACTTTTTCCTTTCATTGCGACTTTAAAAGTTCAGCTAGAAAAACATTCAAGTGCAGTGTTTTGAACAGCCAGTTCTTTTGCTGTCCCTTTTGGAAGTAGTGGGGTTGTGCACGTATTAACATTGAGGAGTGAGTGTCATCCACATAACAAATTGGTTTCTTTCTCGCCCACACCCCACAGTGGCTCTGGACATGCTCTGTTTCCTGCCAAGCATGTTTGACATTTTCATGTTTATTTACTAGGGAAGAAGGGATTACCATCTTATTTATAATGAAGTCTGTGGTCCATATGATGACTGTATAAGCACATGCTTGGTATTTGGTAAATACATGAAGGGGTGTGTAGAAGATGGGAGCAAGGCTTATTTTTCAAAGTACAAATTGTTTATGTGAAGTTGCTGCTTCAGTTTCCTATCCAGCCTGTTCTGTTGTTATCTCTAGGCCAGAGGTCAGTTAACTCATGTTTAGGTTGAAGCCAAGAGAATTACAGCAGTAGTAACATCTGAGTATAAGACATTGGTCCATGACCCTGGAGGACCAGTTTCATTTGTTGATGTTAGGAAGCAGAGTCATGGTCCTTTTAAAACTACTAGTTTTAAGAAACAACCTGTCGCTACGTGAATGATGACAGCCTGTTGAACTGTGTGCTTGTGGCGTAGCAAGTCCATCCTTAATGGACAGAGTGAAAGCATATGTGGGATTTAACATCTTTGTATCCTTGTTGCCCATCTGCATTCCTTCCCCCCCCATCACAACAGCACATTGTCTTTTTTTTTTTTTTCCTTTTTCAGTGATGGGCGAAGTGTGGAATATTGCCACCTGTAAATTTTGAAGGGTCGTGCTGCTTGTGACAGGTTCTTGTCTGTAAAGACTAGGCTAGAGTGTGTGTGGTATCCATCAGCAAACCAGAAGGTTCCCTTGAATGAAGACATAGCTTAGGTAAATTTCTCAGCCAGTTCTAAAAGCAGCAGTTGCTATTTCCTTGGCCTTATTCTCTGGAAATTTTTCTGAACTCTGTCTTAAAAACTAACTTGCCCCTTGGAAAATTCACACATTTGCATACAGGTCTGAATATACTGTTTTGATCATTTTAAATATTTAAGCAACATGCATTGTACTAAAAAAGTAAATAATTCCTCCTGACCATCTTTTTAATAGAGTATGATGCAAAAGGCAGTGTGGTCAATGGATCCTTATTGTTCATGAAGTCTCTTTGCTGTTACGTTTGTATATAGAAATCTAATGGGAGGATTGCTTGTTTGTTTTTTAATTATTTGCACTTTTCTCTGCATGCTTACTCAAAGGCAAATTTTGTACTGGGACAGATGGATGACTTGAGAGGGCTAGATTATAAAATCAAGCCTTTTTATATGTTAAATTCTTAGAACAACAATAATATACAAACTGCAATGAGACAAGTACAGATATTTCAAAATATCTTCAGGAGTGGAAATAGAGTATAAAATCTTGCCTTTGGCACTACAGTTTTATGAGTATATATTTGTATTTCTGTGTCTGTGTATATGTGTGTCTGTCTTTAAAAGAAAATGAAAGATTGTGGTTTTCCTTTTTAAGATGCTGAGTATTTCTGTTCCCTGTAGTGATAATGAAAATGTGAATGAATTGAACTTGGTATTTTAGTCAGACTAAGAGTCCTTGCTAAACAGTGAAGAAGGCTTTCTTGTAACTTATCAAATTTCACTAAGTTAAGAATGTGAAAAACTTGCCACATGCTTTTGGTGGAAGAAAACAGCATGATCAATTACAGTAAGATAATTTGAACATTAGAAGTTAGGATTTGATCACAATACTGAATAAGAAAAGCACCTGAGATTTTTGAATAAAGCAGCTTTGTTTGACAGGTCTGTTTTGACCCAACTATGTAGCTGTTTCCTCTCAGATAAATTGGACCACAGTTAATTTCTATTCACTATTTTTTAGAAGCAAAAAGAAAATCATTCATTATGCCCTCCAGAATGAAAAAAACCTATTTTTGGATAGAAGTAAGGCTATCTATACAATATGTGTATTTGTGTGTATATACATATATGCACACAAAGTAAGACACTGAGTTGGATTTATTTATTGCACCTCTGTTGACCAAACCTAATTTAGAAATGATGCTATAGTTTATCAAGGCTTCAAAGCATGTAATGTAGGACTTGCACCTTACAATGTTTGCAGTCTCACTATCTGTAAGTAAATTAATCAATAACACTTCATGTTTTTAACTGTACTTCTAAATCTATCTTCTCATCTCCTACCACAGATTCCACTTTCTAAAGGGTTTCTTTTCTCAGACACTACACAAAATCTTTGGAAAGTTTTGCTACTTCACCTGTTCTACTTTCACTGTCACCATCACCAACTAGCAGTCATTAAATCTTCCAAGGATTTTTTGGACTACTTTTAGATATAGAGATTATATCACTTGGAAGTGACACCTGTGGAGTAATGTGGCTCTTTTTCCTGTTTCTCTAGTGAGTTGCCAGTTTTGTTTATGAATCTAGTCCCATTTAGAACTGATGAGCCAAAGGTCACTTTTTCTGTGCCTCTTTTACTCTTTATTGTGGGGAAATGGAGTGATACAATAGCTGGGAGTTGGAGGTTGTGCTTCAAACAGTGCAAGTGGTATTTCTATCTTGTAAACCTCAAATATGCAGTTCTGTTGTGCTGGTTGCTCTGAACCTGTGCCGTTGTGTGACTGAGAATATGCCCATCTCTTCGTGAATTGTGAGCCATGGTCTTTAGTTCCTGTTCATGATGACTCTTTAGTTCCTGTTTATGGCAAGATGTCACCTTGTTGAAGGTGGCTGTAAATTTCACATGGTCTGGGGGCGATCCCACTGTGTTCTGTCCCATGGTCTGTCATGCACAGGTACTGTGATGGGTATAGAAGTGCCTATACAAGGAGCCAGACTGGGCAGGGAGGAAACACAGCTCCTTGTGAGCCTATATTTTGCTATATCAGCCTGTGAGAGGACAAGGGGATAAGACCACTGTCAGAAAGGCTGGCCAAACTGCACTGGTCAGACCAGGCAGCAACTGACCTATGGGAGAGAATTTGCTTTGCTTAAAAGTAGATGTTTAAGTGATGCTTAACACAGGCAGTATTACGTTGCCTTTTTTTTCAGGCCTTCAATGTGTATTGTTAGCATTACTGCTCAGATAGCAAGTATACACTGTGTATGTGCGCCCGCGTGTGTGTATTTGTGTATGTGTGTGAGTGTCCCAAATCTTGTTTTAATTTTTTTTTT